AGACTGGCCTTGGGGAACCAGTGTGTTGGTGGACAGGGCATGAAGTATTGAATTCCAGAATTCCTTTTGAAACTGTGAATGAATCCCTCCAGCAACCTATTCACAAATCACCTGAGTGAACATCAGTGCTGTGGCAGATACTTCAAGCCTCATGAGGGCAGTTTAGGTCTTCTACAGATTATATATGAGGATTCAGCGGGGGTCAAATGGCATAAATGTTAACTACATGAAAGATTTTCTTGACACGTACAAAGCTTTGTACTATTCAGGTCAAGTCAAAGTTTTATTTATTCTAGGTTCAATATGCCAAGGACATACTGGCATATTGTACATACATTGAAATGTTTGTAAGGCCAGGTAATTTCTCTCTATAGCTGCACAACACAAAATATACACAGGGAAGAGGACAGTATAGAGATGTCTATACATACAGAAATCTACTTAAAAGTACTAATCATCAGGTTAAATAAGAATATATGCAATTTCAGTATTAATATAATGCAATATGAATAAATGTGCATGTGTGCAAGGACAAATGTATAGGACTGGAGTTAACATTAATACTGAAAGTAATGGAAGGAGAAAGGACTACAAAAAAATAGCAGTGTTGTACTAATTATAGAGTTATAAATAAATATGCTTAAATAAGTATGCACATGTGCACTGACAGTGTATCTATAGCAGTGTATCTATGGCAACCATAAAACACCAAACGAAGAAGAAAAACTGTCCATGAAGTGGTACATGTAAAAAATTTTCATAAAGTGACAGTAATAGGTAATATGTAATAAGTAATATGTAAGTGAGTTATATTATTGGGCACAAAAAACAACAACAACAAATACTACTACTACTACTACTACTACTAATAATAATAATACATAATCTTTAGTTATAGAATGCTTTTTATTTCAGTTATGTAATCTCTAAGTGGTTTACAAAACAATATAACTGTATAAACCAAAATGTATAAACAGAATTCCAAAATGTTGGGACAGAAAGCAGTGACTTAAAAATCAACTTTGACCTATATTTGAACAAAAACAATACAAAGACAAGATAATTACTGTTTTACCATATCAACTTCATTGTAGGGTACCATTCAAAAGGCTACATAACACCTACATACGGTTGTCATTACAACTGACGAAACCCTGCATAAATGTTTAATGCTTATTTCGATAGGTGTCATTCACTATAAATGGTAAATTTACCAATTTTGATCAGAGTTAGCTAAAGTAGCCTTTATGGCAGATGATGCCTATTGTAACAAGCATTTACAAACATTTATGTAGGGTTATGTCAGTTGTCACTGTAAGCTTATGTAGGTGTTATGTCTTGTAGCCCTATGAACAGCACCCTACAGTAAAGTGTTTTTTGTAAATATGTGGTCATTCTGAAATATTTGATGCCTGCAACAAGTTTCGAGAAAGTTGGAACAAGGGCAATTTAAGACTAGAAACACTGTAAAATGTTAAAAAAAAAAAACATCTTAAACAGGTGATGCAGTTATCCTTGGATATAAAAGGAGCATCCAGAAAAGGCATTTATGAGTGAGGATGGGTCAAGGCTGGTAATTTGACATCATGTTCTCTGAGGCACCATTAACCCTGAACACAATTTGAAGTAACATATGCTCACTTTTAGACACCATGTTTTTTTTAAGGGACACATGCTTAATTCAACATGACAACACAAAAAAGCCACATTCTGTATGTTTTAGTATAGCATAGCAGTGTATCAGAGAGTGCGGGTGTTAGACTGAGTGTCCGTAAGGTAAAACATCAAATATCCTGTTTTGTACTGTTGTCAATTTAATACAGGTCAAGCAATTTACTAATCACTATCTTCTGTTTTTATTAGCATTCCAAATACAACCGCATCTTCTGTAAATTTATCATTTTGGAGGTACATGTTTCTTTTGGGTGCCTGACAGTAAGTAAAACATAGGAAAGATAAAAATGAATGAAAATAACAGCACAATTACAAATAGTAGAAAATGAGCCTCATTACTTCTAGACATATACTAGTCTAAAGAAATATGTTTTTATTTTGATTTATTTGTGGATTTAAAAACACTTTAGAGTTTGCATTTCTAATATTCTCTGGAATGGTACTGTAGAGTTTAGAAGCTATATAAGAAACTAATCTTCCACCAACTGAGCTGTGATCCAGCCTAAGCTGGGCAAAGGGATCTGGATAGTACGGCTGCACAATAAAACATAATTTTATCATTATTGCGATAAACATATCATTACAGCAATGATGACAGATCAAATTACTTCATACACCAGCACCACAGAGACATCATTACATTTTAGGCACAAACCTTTGGAAGCCTAATGCCTAGTGCTTCTCTACACTGAAACTGAACCCTGCTCTCCCATGTGGGAGATAAGTAACTTAACCATTCGGCTACACAGCCAACTACAAAACATGCATGTACATGGCTCAAATACTACTCCATCCTGAGCTACAAGCCTATAAATACACATCAAACATTTGGATTGTTCTCACACTCAGTATTGTGTTTTAAGTGTGCGAGGCAGTAGTGGCTACTGTACCAACACACACACATTTTCCAAACCACTTATACTTCTGGGTTGCGGGGGGGTGCTGGATCCTATCTCAGCAGTTACTGTAACAACAGATGTATTTAATAACTAAATAATAATAAATTAATAAATAAATGAATAAATAAAAATAATTATAAAAATATAAAATAATATGTTTGTTTTTGTAGCATTTATAGAACAAAACCTTTCTTAGTCTTTCATTGCACAAAAAAGTGCTTGCAGTTTTGATATAAGTATTACATTTGTTTTTATTTTGCACAACAGTGATGGTGCTTTGTAATTTTGTATTTTTCTATTTGCTTAAAGGAGAGGGTTAGTTAGATTTCTGTTTTCACAGCTGAAAAAAGGCCTGTCCTTATGCCACAACTATTCATAGGCAGACTATTTTCAAAATAATTTATCCATTCTCATATCATCATCGTGATATCCAACAGCTTTGATGCACATCACATTTTATTTCAATAACGTACAGCACTACTGGATAGGCTATAATGCTTCAATTTATCAGCAAGATATGCATATTAAAAGACTTGTAGACAAGGTGTAATTTAACAGGGAAGCCAGTGTAAATAATGACCTCTGCTTTGTCTAAAAAGGAAACAGTGACAATCTACTTTACAAGTCCTTGTTTGCGGCTTCATTTTTAATTGGAAAAATAGCCGTTAAATACTTTATGTAGTATTTCACAAAATGGGCACAGTAACACTGTAACAGCCCGTTTCAAAGATAATTAAAAAAACATTTAACAACCCAGCAGGACCTAAAGGCGAATAAAAACAATCTATATTTAATCCATATAACACATTATCATAGATTTACAGATATTAGCATCAACCAAAAATAACTTTCTTGCTGCTAGATGCACATGCACAAGATGCACATTTCTCTGCAGGTGGTCCACTAGATTTCCAATGCTGGCATTTTCATGTACTATTAAAGTCAGCCGCATGCCAAGTTTGACCTCTGCATCATTTATCTCAATTAAATGTGTTTTTGTTCTCAAGCCTACCTTAATCACTCTTTCATTAGCTCCTGCTTCTACAATCCTCTGGGTGTGTGCCTCTACAGGGGCTGGCTTACTTGTCCAGATTCAGGAGAAAAAGGGCAGGTGTGAGGGAAGCCAACCTATTTCTGTTTCAGACGTACCAATACTGCCTTCTCCATTACAATTCATTGGTTTCTCTCTGAATGCAGTGCATGTTCGATAATCTTCCATCTCAGGAAAATATGAAGTGTCTTTATTCTTTCATATGCTCTCCAAGAGCGCAATCTTTGAGCCAAAACCCATCTTCCACAAAGAGGCTGTCAAATAGAGAGATGGTCCCCACTTGGCTGGCATGCTTGATGAAGGTGGTTTGCTGTTTGTAGCCCTGAGACAAGGCGGATAGGGAACTTATGAAAACACGCTTTTGTCAGATTACTTTGTGCCAATGGCAGTTGTGGCCAAGTCCTTCAGGCGAAAGGGATTCTAATGTGGTTTCATTAGTCCAACAATGGATAGTAAGGAAAGAGAAGAGAATCAGCTTATAGATTCATAAAAGTAGTTTAAAAAAATACAGTTTCACCTGTAGGGTTTCAATAGCTGTGCAGAATTCTCAAAGAATATACTTAAGCATGTTCCTTTAAGGCACCACACTTATAATCCACTTGTCCCATCTACTTCGGATGAATAAAGAAGGTGACTAAGAGCATTAATTCCACTCGCTGGTGGATGAGCTCCAACTACCTAAGCACAATCAGGCAGCTTATTCTTGAAACGTCCTCTGTACCATTTTATATTAAGCCTGTCTGTGAATACATGACCACAGCTAGCCTGTCTTCCTTCCCTCCTTTTAGGTAGCCGTTAGCTGAATGAAGGGAGCAACCTTGCTAGCATTAGACTGCACACTGTTATAGATTAGTCCATCTTTCCTAATTAGATTAGTCTGGCGTTAACCCTGCAGACCTCTGGAGCACTCTCCGCTCGGCCTGAGTATCGAGTGCACACCTGCAGGCACAGTGAGGCAGTGAGTGAATGAATGTGAGTTTTCGCAGCTTCTGAATGGCACAGCAATTAGCGCAGCTACAGGTTCGCCTAGCCGTGATTTAATAGCGTGACTCGTTCCTTCGTTCTTCAGCGGTAGTGGGTTTCTTTCTTTTGTTCGTACGTCCATCTTACACTACTATTTCCAACTTCTAACGTTTCATGGTGACTATCTCACACTTCTGACAGGAATCGGCTCCTATAAGTTTCTACGAATTACTTCACAACGTCAATCTACCTTGCTATGCAAAGTAGCCATGTTCCGCAGCACCGGATTGGCTGTAATAAGGTTAAGGAGAGCTCGGATTGGCTTAGCCCGTGCCATCATGATTCCTCGAGCGGACTGCTGTGCTCCGAGCCGACACGCTGAACGCCAACACACACATACACACGCTCTGAGACTTGAATCTACACACACACCAGAGCAGCAGCAGAGCAGCCGGCGGGATGTGGTGATGCTGCTGGGCAGTCTGGTGAGCGAATTATTTCTCTTTTTTCTCCCTCTTTTGTGCGGCTTTGGTGACTAAAACTACATTTCTGTGTTTCTGGTGGCCGACTCGCTGCGGTGTACTTAAGCGCCTGTGAGTATTTACACAGCCCGCCTGTATAGGATAAGCTTGGACCTGTGAGCTCTGAGAGGCAATCTCTCTCTCTCTCTCTCTCTCTCTCTCTCTCTCTCTCTCTTTCTCTGCCTCGGCCTCTCTTTTTTATTGGCGATGAAACTCGGCTGTGTTGAAATTGAAAGCGTCCCTCTCATGCTTTCAGGACTTTACCCAGTTTACAGTACCGCGGACCTGCGCGCGCTGGACCTCGGACTGCACGTCTCTGACTGTCACCTTCTGTTCATTCATTCACATCGTCTTTTGTCCACGTGCGCTCACGCTCGCGTCCGAGTCGTTGAGAGCCGTTAAACGCGCGTTCATTACTTGTATCAGTGAGCGAGCTTTAATCAAACTCCCGCCCGCGCGCTCATGTCCTCGTGTCCAAGCCTCGCATCGTTCTTCTCCAGCCTCCTCCTGCATCTGTTTGTTTGCTGCGACCCAAGGTAAGCTCAGCTATTTTCTGACCGAATAGAGGGGCATAAACCGCAGCCGAGGCGCGCACTCATGCATGATATTGTACTGGAGCGCCGAGAATGAGACTTTGAAGATGTTCGCTTCTCTCTCGCCCTCCACTAACACTCCATCAGCCCGAGACACAGCTGCAGCTCATTTCACACTGTTAGCTCTTTTTCACCACGACACGGACACCCACTTTCACCTGGATAGCGCTGAGCTGATCGCATAACTAGAAGTGGCTCAAGTTCATTTCTGTATTCCCTCTTCACAATAGCGTGGTCATATACCGTTAGACGGGCTTTGTTTAGCCGTTCTCTTCAAAAGTCATATAAACGCTTTCTCTCTCGATTAGTTAGCCTGAGTGCGCCCGCAGAGCATTTGTCATTTTAGTCTCCGTGCTGCAAAAATCCCTTTAAATACCTGTTAATTTGTTTTAAGAATGCTTTGGGAAATCGATGATATTGATTTTCCCAAACGTGAATGTGTGTTGTTGTGTATGATGGTTGATCCAACATTTAGCCCTATTGATCTGTCAAATTCAGTTTGCCAATAAGAAAGGCTGCCGGACAGACATGCATAACTGAATCAGGTCAGTGACCAGTGCATTTGACCTTATTTAGAACAATGAGCATAATCTTATGTTGTAAATGATGCATTCATAGTCATTTAATGCTGTCTCTAAATTTTTAGTTTTCTCTCTCTTTCTCTGACTCTTCACAAACATTGTAGCTTGTCATCTGGCAAGAAAAAAAAAATGCTAATCCATCCCTCTCTCATCCTGCCACATGTTGGTTTCAATTACACTTTCAGCTGGGCAGCAGCTGCTGTCGCTCAACCCCCAGCTTTTTTCACAGCATCACATATCTGAGCTCTGGTCGTGGAGGGACAGTGAGGACAGAGCACGGCAAGACAGCATGTCTCCTCTCGTCCCCTCTCCCGAGTTACCCTAAAGGTCTCTTTGTGCTGGTGTCAAAGAAAAGTGTAATAAATGGTTGAGACAGAAAGCTTTCAAGTTGTTTTTTCTCTCTTCCCAGGCAATTCACAAAGCTGTAAGTCTTTCTTGTCGTCGTGAGGACCAGGCTCTTGCTCTTGCTTTTTGCAAGGGCTTATTTGAAATCCATTACAAATTGTGCTGATGCACTGAAATCTGCTTTTGTGACCTAGGCATTTGAAATGCATTTTTGTGGTGAGGACAGACTTGCATTTTCAATGGCTTTTTGTAAGCCTGCTCCCACAGGGGGATTTTTTTTTAGTTTACAAGGTCCCAAGTGTTCTGCGGTACTTGTCTGTCCTGCATAGCAGTGCTGTATCCTTGATATTTAGCATATTGTTGTCCTCCAGGGACTGCTTTGTTTTAAAGCGTCCATCATGGAAAAATTGTCCTCACTTTTTTGAAATAAGTTTGATGCTGTGTGTAAGCTTCGTTAAAGTTTCAAAATGTACCATTCACTCCCCAGTATATACAGGCCTGATATGGTGCAAAAACAGCCCATTGAGAATTGTCACAAAAACCAATACATATATCTGCCCTACTGCCCTAAAACAGGCGAACCCCACCCATTCACAAGTTATATGGCACAATACAGGGTAGCCAGTCAAAAAGAGGTTATTTGCCTATATATATATCAGTCTTAAATGCACAGTAACAAAAACAGCCTTTTAAATTCTGAGGCAGGGTTCTCAAACTACCGGCTTGCGGGCCACAGCTAGCCTGCAAGATAGCTTCATAGGGCCTGTTACGGAATTACGATTATCATTTAAATCTCGCTAGCAAATAATTATTTATTTATTTTTACATATGATGCATAGCTTTGCATCACCCACCAGACCCTATGACTGGTTACCCAACATAAGCCATATTAAATCATCATGGGCTGATGCCACAATGTTAAAAGAAAAAGAGCACTGAATGCAAGGGAAACAATTCAAACGAAAACCTGATACAGCATGAGCGCTGCACACTAAGCGAGCATAGTTGCAATTTAGCTATAATTATATTAGCTATTATTCTAATTTAGACCAATAGTTAAATCTGCCTTTGTGGATTCATTCATGACATAGCAGCAGATACAGCATGTCAGAATTAAGAAATTAATGAAATTATCAAACTACACCAAGAACGCATATTAACTGCCCTCCTTTGCCTGCACGTCACTCACAATAACTTCATTTGCGTTCAACAGGAACACTGATGCCGTCACATTAAAAGCCTTCTATAATTCTGCTGTTAAATGTAAGTTTATTTGATTTAATTGAACACTGAAATATCTATTAAACTATGTATTTCTAGACACCTGGCTTGTGGCCCCCAACTAATTTGAGTTGTTTGAGACACCAGAGAGGGTGATTGGTAATGTAAAAATGATTTATGACTGTTTTTGATGCAGACCATACATTCATTAAAAATGGATCCCAGGAAAAAAAATTAAATACTAGATGTAATGTAAAATATAGTCGCTTTTAAAGATAACATGCAATTCTACACATTCTATGGCTAATTTCCATCATTGTCACTTGAGGTCTGTATGATAATGTAATCCTTTTAGCCATGGTGTGATCTGTCTGTTCATACTAGATACGCAGAGACGTGCACTAACTCACACACATGCATACACTTACAGGTGGGAGGGGATGGCCCTCACTTTTTAATTACTGTTCTGAGCCCGGCTTCTTGACATTGACGTATTGATTGAATCTTGGAAAAGCTTCAATAAAAGCCAGGGCTAATTGATTCTTCTGCATTGACATGCAGCGACATTACGCCACACCATGAGGCCAATAAGAGCATGCTGGCAATATTGACGTGTGAAATTAATTCCAAGCACGAGCAAGGAATGGTTTTCAGTATTTGATCTTGCCATGCTGGCAAGTGAAGCTGCTTCTGCTGTTCTCCAGTTCTCTAGGAGCAAGATCGTTTGAGCAGTCACACTCCCATCCTGACATTTCAAATCTGTAGGTGTCGGAGCAGGAGAGAATCGATGTGGCTACTTTCAGGATATTATACTTAACAGTCAAACACTCCGGCCACTTTGTCCTTGTTATGGGCTCTTGTGTTTTAAACTCTTTCTTCAGTGGGGTAAATCTGCTCATTACTGTTAGATTTCCAGCCGTCCTTAATTTGTGCAGTGTTAGGCAGTCCTGGAGGATATTACTGTCTCTTTTTCTAAAAGGTATTCTCATGGGGGAACTTGTGCAGCAGTAAGAGAGGGTGTTAAACAAAGGGCGGGAGATAATGATCATCTTTCTGACTTCTAAAACTTGGCCCTAATGATGTGCAAATAGAACAGAAGGCTCCTTGGCTGCCACTGCTCCAGCTCCATACCTCAACTCTTGCCTGTGGCGGGGGGCGGGGCCGCCCTAGTAACTCCACATTGACTGGATATTGCTGTCATTCAAGGAGGTTTTGGGATATTGAACTTCATTTCCCGGAAAAGGACAAGTAATAAGTTTGGATTCGAAGACAATATTGTTGTTTATTTATTTTATAACATGAAGCGAGAGTCTTCCGAAGGCTCTGGTAAGTTCCATTAAGCCTCAGAGCACTCTTTTCTGTGCTCCCCTCTGGGTGGAGAGGTGTATTTAAAGTGCATTTCTGGAGGAAGGCTTATAATTGGGTTTTATTGAAAGGCTTTGCTGGTTGTCTGAGCCCAGTGGTATGGCCATTGTGGAATTTAGTGTTGTGTGGTTCCTGGTCAAGTGAATCAGAGAATGGTAGCTGGTGTAATTGCATCTTGCCAATTCAACTGGCCTAAGCTACTCCATCTCTCGCTAACCTGACTGCACAGAACTGTACCGTACGCCTGAATGTGAGAAAGCCTTGTTACTATACAAGGACCACACTCAAACCATAGTGTTTTGTGTGTGTGTGTTATTTTTTTTCTTTTCTCTTGCTGCTTTCACTAAGTAAAGCTCTTATCCAAGGCAAAGGATTACATTTTTGCCCATTTATGTAAATGGATATTCAGTGGAGCAATTCAGATTAAGTGCCTGGCTCGCTGAAGGGCACATCAATAAAATTTCACAGCTGGGATTTGAACTGGTAACCCCCTGCACTCGTGCCTTGCTGAACACCACCTTAACAAGACTGCTGGGCACCATTGGATGCACCATCAGGTGGTCCGAGTAATATTGCAGCAACTTGGGATAAATTTGTTGAAGAGTGGCTCAACAGCGGTTCCTCTAAACTGGAACATGGAAAATAATCAGCTAAGAACAATCAGAACTGAAGTTGATTGTGGACAGGCTATTGAATGGAAGGTTTGAATTTCTGTAAATGAAATTTAATGTGATTCAAATTAGTTTATCCTATATTTAGTCCCCCTTTCATTAGTGCACATTAGCACAATATGCAGTTGAACTGTACTTTCTTTTCTGGCGATAAAATCTGCAGTGACAAGTTTAAACTAAGGCTGTAT